AGTCGTAGTTGTAATGTAGTGTGCTGTAATTGATGTAGTGTAGTTGTGGCTATGTTTGTAGTTGTAGTTGTAATGTAGTGGTAGTGGTAGTTGTAATTTATTATCCATCTATCTGTCTATCTGCAAGCTTGAAAACGAAGCTATTCTGCGAGACTTCCTCAATTTTTGAATTTGACAACATCAAAAATTGCCGCAATTTCTGCGAGACTTCCTTAATTTTTGACATTGATAACGTCAAAATCGAAGCAATTCTGAGAGACGTCCTCAATTTTTGAAGTTGACAAGATCAAAAACGAAGCAATTCTGCGAGACTCCCCTCAAAAATGGAACGTTGAGTGCAGAGCTGACGGAATAATACCATTGCGTTTTGCGATTTTTCCATTCCACCTGTCTAAAGTATTGCACCTGCCACGAGAAAGTGATGCCAGGTCATCTACAGTTTCGCGCTTTCCTGTACCTCATGTGTCTGCTGTACTGCGCCTTCCACGCGAAATGCATCTGTCCAGATCCTCTTCAAATGCCCCGCGCCTGCCATTGTTTTGGAAATGGCTCAAAACATCTCAAAACCCTCACGTTTTGCTCACTTTTGACAAGGTGCAGAATCCCTTGTGCCCGCCAGGCGAAACGACATCTGAACGTCCAAAAGTGGTCCGAACATCTTGTCCTTCCCACCACAACGACTTGCACTTTTTCGACATGTCAACTTCAATTCAACTTCCAGAAGTGGCCCGGAGCTGGTGTGCTTTGCGCATTTTGACTTGGAAATGCGCTTCTGGCCACAACGCGTGCACTTTTTCGACATCTCAACTTCCAAAAATGGTCCGGAGCTGGTGGGTTTTGTACGTTTTGACTTTGAAATGTGCTTCGCGCCACAACGGCGTGCACTTTTTCGACATCTCAGCCTTTAAAAGTGTTCCGAGGCTGACGTGTTTTGACTTCGAAATGTGCTTCGCGCCACAATGGCGTGCCATTTTTCATCTCTCATCTGGCCTCAGATGGCTCCGCATCCGCCGCTTTAGCGAGCCTACTTTTCAACCCTCCGGAGCCACAAATCATTGGAAAAGCACCGTGTTTCACGCCTTTTCTACCTTTTCGCGCGCCTGCATCCTGCATCTTCGTTCTTCTGACTCTTTCTCTTCTCTTCTCTCCTCTCCTCTCCTCTCCTCTCCTCTCCTCTCCTCTCCTCTTCTCTTCTCTTCTCTTCTCTTCTCTTCTCTGACTCTTCCCACCTCTGCTTTTCCATGTGTCCATATTTTTGGAAGTTTGACTTCTAAACTTCCTTCGATAATACAAATTATTGACGTTAACATTGTTTTAAAATGTATTAAATGTGGTTAAACCATGATGAACCATGTACAATGTAAATATATTACATATGTTTATGCAGACACATTCAGATGACGAGGACACATACAATTTCAATCTCCTCAATCTATGCAGTTAGTTGTTCAACTGAGATCAGCTGAGTAGATGTCTGACAATGTGTTGCAAGGTGTGTTTATTTTTTAGGCCAACGCAAGCATACAACCACACTGAACAGAGACGTGCATACGCACACTCACAGATGAGTGCGTGGATATGCGCATGATCTGCAAGTCTGTCAGGATGGCGTTTGTCTCTGCACACTTGACAAAGAGAGGCAGCTGGAGTCAGAGCACAGGATGGCAGGATGGATAATTAAGCGTCGTTCTGCATCGTTGTCCATCAGCCACGACATGTCATTAAAGTCGTGAGTCGTGGGTCGTGATCAAAGGAGTTGCTCAAGGCTGGTCAAGTCATGGTTCAGCTTGTGTGTTTGTTCTACGAGAAATTCACGCGACAGCGTTCCCAAGTCTGGAACACCAAACAATTGAATTTGACCTCTAAACCTCAAATGCTGCATCAGACTGCTCAGTTAAACAAGTTGCAGCCTCACGGACCCTTTGATCATGAGACTCGTACACCACCAGTAGGCAGGACATGGATTGCTATACTTCCCCAAGTGATTGTGGTGATTGACCAAATAATACTGACCATATATTTTAAAATCATTGCTGTATCTGGAATGCTCGTGAAGTTTTGCCCCACAGCCTCCAAACTGTATACGTAAATGGTTGTAGATGTGCATCCACCTCTTCGAACAGTGCAAGAACATTAAGAACGAATCGGATCCAATTGGCCACATTTTTTTGAAAGGCCACAACTGGCATCTTGGGCCACAGCAGGCATGGGTCGTGGGGATGCCCTGAATGGTGCAAAGCATTGCAAAGTTGTGAATCTGAGGGTAAAGCAGGCGCTCGTTGATCCGGTTGATCCGGTTGGATCCGGTTGGATCCCTGCACGTAGGGACGTAGGTGTTGTGGTTTTGTAAGTTTTGTCAGTGCTTTGCAAGCATTAAAATAATAAAAAATATGCCGCTTGAGTTTCCGATATCATTTTCCAGGCTTCCAAGTACAGAGGGGCCATATCATTTTGTTGGTGAATGGGTGGGTAGAAGATCTGCGGACATCACTTGATTGCAAGTTTCAGGCCAAAATCACAACAAGTATGAAATATTTGCTGTTTTGGTTGTTCCTGTGCTATGCTGGAAAGGTTGCAATCCGCCGCGGCTTGCTCTTCTTGACCTTCGGATTTGATCTATCTATTTTGATCTGATGTTCCCACCACCAAGTTTCTCAAACATAGTATCGCATCAGCTTGAGCATTTTGGAGCTCGAGGTTTTTCTGTCATGGATGGTGCTACAAGCACGTTAAAACTGATCCTACTCTGATACTTGTATCATTTTGTATCCATCTGTATCCCACGTACAAACAATCGAATAGTTGTAATGTGTATTCATTTTTTGCTTAGGATTTGGGCCGAGTGCGATGCAGCAAAGAACGTTCGACGGCCCAGGTATGGTACAACTACTAGTAATGTAGTTAGGACGCCAAGCTGTAGCGTGCCTGTCAAATCCTCTCAAGAGACTCGAGCTATTCCACGCCATAGCTTGCTCTTGTTTAAGTGCTGAGGCACGGCAGAACCACAACATATGTTGGAATCAGCTCCCTGGCTTGCAGTTTGCATCAGATGTTTGGAATCCCATGAGCTGTTCAGCAACTCTCACTACCGGTCCAAAAGTCGCAGATGCAAGATTTGAAGGATGTCTGGCTATTCCGGCTGTCACCCGGGCGTGTGAGATGTGTAAGCCATCCCTGCTGTTGGTACCATTGTCGGTCTTTTCTTCACGTGTGATGCCCGTCCATGCTTCGCCTCGGTGGTGCTAGATTACCAAACAAGGAATTGGTGAATTGAGAAATACTGAGAACTGAATTTGTTTCTTAATGACATGGATATCATGGATGACACGGTCAAACAGCAGCCAAGCTCCGCACGAAGGTGCCAGACCCTGTTGACGACCAGGTCACTTCCTGAGGTTTGCATAGTCATAGTCAGGCAGAGTCAGGTAGTGCCGCTGGCCATGCCTGGCCAAATCTCTACGGTTGCCCTCAGGTTCCCGAGAGCTCATCAGACATCGAGATTGATGATTTGCCATTAGTCGAACTCCAGGACCACTGACGGCAGTGTGTTTACATTTGTCTACAGTCGGCATTTGACTGCGTGTCTTGGAGCCGATTCCGTCCGATTCCAACAATATCTTCATCAGGATCGATAAGATATCAGATATCGATAAGAAAGGCATGTCATAAGTCAAACATACTCAAACTCAAGCCATGTCCACTTCTGGCTGGGTTCACTGGACCGGTGTCCTGTAAGAGGCCAAGAAACAGAAGAACATGAACCCGATGAAGCACAAAGCAAAGGCCTCAGCACTATCACATCCTGAATGAGCCAGATGCAACGATGTGTCAGTATTTAAGAGACGGCCAAAGACTGGCTACAAAGAATTTAAAGCATGGATGATAAGCGGATTGGAATGGATTTACGATTTGTTTAAGCGCTGGAACAGCGCAAGGGGTTGATGTAGCTTTGCTTTGCCCTCGGAGGGGTGTGGGGGGGGGGCATGCAGCGTGTGCAAACCCAATATTTGATTTGCAGAAAATCTGGGTGCAGTTTTGGCTCCGTCGGCCTCATTTTTGCCCATGTTGTGCGCTTCTGAGATATTGGGCCAGCATTGGCGGCTCATGTTGAGCCATTTTAGTTGTATTTTGTGGAAAAACACAATAAATACCAAGGAAAAATACAATTTTTGGGGTGCGTTGCTGTTGGTTTTTGCTGCTATCTTTTGGTTGTTTTTGTTTCTTTCTTTTGTGGCATGCTGCACTTAGGCTATGCTTGCCTGATCTCGGGCTTATGTTGGGCCATTGTGGGCTATGTCGGCACCATTTTGGGCTCATGTTGAGCAATTTTGGTGTATTTTGTGGTTTGTGTTGGCCTTTGTTGGGCAAGAGTTGGGACCATATTGGGCTTATCTTGGGCAATTTTGGGCTATGTTGGGACATTTTGGGCCACGTTGGCACCGTATTGGGCTCATGTAAGAGGGCAAGAGAGCAAAGAGGGCAAGAGAGAATGTGAAGGTGCGAAGATGTGAGGATGTGAAGATGTGAGGATGTGAAGATGTGAAGATGAGAAGATGTGAAGATGAGAGGATGTGAAGATGTGATGTGAAGATGAGAAGATGAGAAGATGTGAAGATGAGAAGGTGCAAAAATGTGAGGATGTGAAGATGTAAGGATCTGAGGATGTGAAGATTTGAAGATGAGAAGATGTGAAGATGTGAGAATGTGAAGATGTGAAGATGTGAAGATGTGAGGATGTGAGGATGAGAAGATGTGACGATGTGAAAATGTTTGACAGACCCCCACTATTGGAAGAACCCTTCGCTCAGACGCTCTCGGGAAAAAATGGAAGACAACCAAAACGATTTTGCATGTTCCAGGGAAATCGTGATTTTTTCTGCGCGTTTTCTCTTTGACTGAATGGTTGAAGATTTTATGCGAATCCTCCCGCATCCTCTGGCAGCCGGCAACCCAAAGTGCAAGTTACATCAGTTACATCTATATAGAGGGATGTAATTACAGGGCATGCTCGGCATGCGCAAAACTTCTTTGCGTTTTGTTGTCTTGGTAGCTCGTGTTGAGGCATTTTGGGCTATATGTGTTGGCCTTTATCTTCGACTTAGGCATTTCAGTGTCGTTGAATTTTGGTCCATGCAAGGCGTTTCTGATGCTCTGTTGGGGCATGCTGCACTTAGGATATGTTTGCCTTACCTGAGGCCCACGTTGAGCAATGTTCAAGCCATGTTGGGTTGTTGCTGCGTCCCCTTGAGCCCATGCTGTGCCGATGTCGAGCCAACATGTCTGGGCACTGCCTTTGTGGTCTGGCACGTTTGTCATGCTGTTGTGCGGTGTGGGTTTGTTGTTGTGTCTTGGTTAAGGGTGGTGGTGTGTCAGTGCTGATTTGATGGTGTCTTGGTGCAGTGTCGGTGATGTGTTGGTGCAAACCCTGCACTTTGTCAGTCTCTATTGCGCGGGTGCGTCTTGGTGGCGTTTGGGCATGCGTGTGGAATGTTGTGTTTGCGAGGTATTTTTCTGATGCTGCGGCGTCATTTGAATGATACTTTTGGTGGTGGCATGGCATGTTGTGAGCTCATGTGAGCTCTCATAATATAGGTCGATATTTCAGTGGTGTGTTGCATTTGCGCGCACAGACACAATACACATTACACATCAATACACAATATCAAACAATCCTGCACACTTGTGGCCCATGACATCTCCAGTGCTTTTCCTGTCCTGGCCGGCAGAGCCTAGATAAGGAAAAGGCAGCTTGCGTCGCGTGTGATTAAGTAAACAAGTGCTAATCTCATCCCAACAAAATGAAAGACAACCAAAACGATTTTGCATGTTCCAGGGAAATCGTGATTTTTTCTGCGCGTTTTCTCTTTGACTGAATGGTTGAAGATTTTATGCGAATCCTCCCGCATCCTCTGGCAGCCGGCAACCCAAAGTGCAAGTTACATCAGTTACATCTATATAGAGGGATGTAATTACAGGGCATGCTCGGCATGCTCCATCTCTTCTTTAAGTTCTGTTGTCGTGGCATTGTTTCACTGGCTTAACGCTAATATTTGGTATTGTATGTTTTTGTTGGTGTCTTTTGGATCTGGGTTCCTTCTCGAGTTTGAGTCATTCACTGAAAAGTTTTTCTGTAAGATTCATCATGTTGGTATCGGGATTTGTCTGACCGTATATTTGAATATCTTTTGCAGCTACATATATTATATATTTGACAGCTGAACCGTGGTCGTGTGCTACCCGGGATATTCTAATATATTTGAATGCTTTCCGTCGTTTGCCGCATTGGTTTGCAGATATTTACAGCATTGCGCAAAAATGAATCCGAGACAAGGTTGCTCAGAATTCAAAAGCTGCTGGCGTCCACGAGCCTGATGTCTTGGAGGAGGATATGCCCTTGGCACTTTTCCAGGAGCTCAGAGGGCTTGGATGGGCTTTATGACTTCATAATGTCTGGATAATGTCTGGATGTTTCTGGATGTGCCTGAGCCTTTTGCAGTTTCACGCACCCCAGAGAATGCTGACATGAAACCGCACCACGCAAATTCATCCGATGCATTGTGATGCAGGCGTTCCAAAAAGAAAAACGCGAGGTGCATTCTGCATGTTCAATTACTTCATTATAGAATGGGCTAGCGCCCTGGTGCCGCCGACCCCCCTATTTGGGGCATACGCTTTGGCAGAGTTTTAACGGTTTTAAGCGTTTTGATGTGGCCTTGGGGTGCCAGTTGGCGTGGACCGCGCTTAGAAGAAGCGATGGATCTGGCCTTGGGGTAGCTTGTGCCTGCGTGGTTGGGCGTCCCATACGCTTTGGCAGAGTTTTAACGGTTTTAAGCGTTTTAGGCGTTTTAGGGGTTTTAGGCGTTTTAAGGGTTTAGGGGCTGGCAAACGGCAGGCTTGGACGCCCATAAGAAGCCATTGATGTGGCCTTGGGGTGCCTGTTGGCGTGGACCGCGCTTAGAAGAAGCGATGGATCTGGCCTTGGGGTAGCTTGTGCCTGCGCGGTTTGGCGTCCCATACGCTTTGGCAGAGTTTTAACGGTTTTAAGCGTTTTAGGCGTTTTAGGGGTTTTAGGCGTTTTAAGGGTTTAGGGGCTGGCAAACGGCAGGCTTGGACGCCCATAAGAAGCCTAAGAAGCCATTGATGTGGCCTTGGGGTGCCTGTTGGCGTGGACCGCGCTTAGAAGAAGCGATGGATCTGGCCTTTGGGTAGCTTGTGCCTGCGTGGTTGGGCGTCCCATACGCTTTGGCAGAGTTTTAACGGTTTTAAGCGTTTTAGGCGTTTTAGGCGTTTTAGGGGTTTTAGGCGTTTTAAGGGTTTAGGGGCTGGCAAACGGCAGGCTTGGACGCCCATAAGAAGCCTAAGAAGCCATTGATGTGGCCTTGGGGTGCCGTGGACCGCGCTTAGAAGAAGCGATGGATCTGGCCTTGGGGTAGCTTGTGCCTGCGCGGTTGGGCGTCCCATACGCTTTGGCAGAGTTTTAACGGTTTTAAGCGTTTTAGGCGTTTTAGGGGTTTTAGGCGTTTTAAGGGTTTAGGGGCTGGCAAACGGCAGGCTTGGACGCCCATAAGAAGCCATTGATGTGGCCTTGGGGTGCCTGTTGGCGTGGACCGCGCTTAGAAGAAGCGATGGATCTGGCCTTGGGGTAGCTTGTGCCTGCGCGGTTGGGCGTCCCATACGCTGTGGCAGAGTTTTAACGGTTTTAAGGGTTTTAGGCGTTTTAGGGGTTTTAGGCGTTTTAGGGGTTTAAGGGCTGGCAAACGGCAGGCTTGGACGCCCATAAGAAGCCTAAGAAGCCATTGATGTGGCCTTGGGGTGCCTATTGGCGTGGACCGCGCTTAGAAGAAGCGATGGATCTGGCCTTGGGGTAGCTTGTGCCTGCGCGGTTGGGCGTCCCATACGCTGTGGCAGAGTTTTAACGGTTTTAAGGGTTTTAGGCGTTTTAGGGGCTTTAGGCGTTTTAGGGGTTTAAGGGCTGGCAAACGGCAGGCTTGGACGCCCATAAGAAGCCTAAGAAGCCATTGATGTGGCCTTGGGGTGCCTGTTGGCGTGGACCGCGCTTAGAAGAAGCGATGGATCTGGCCTTGGGGTAGCTTGTGCCTGCGCGGTTGGGCGTCCCATACTTGTGCCTGCGCGGTTAGGCGTTCCGAAACGCTTTTGCAAGTTTTAACGGTTTGAAGCGTTTTCGGGGTTTGAGGCGTGTAACGGTTTGAAGCCTTTTAAGCGTTTAAGGCCTGGCACACGGCAGGCTTGGACGCCCATAAGAAGCCATTGATGTGGCCTTGGGATGCCTGTTGCTAAGAAAGACAAGTTCCACACCTGCGGTGGTCCCAGGCGCCGCCCCTGCCTTGGCTAAGGCCGGGGTCGGCGGATTTAAATGTAATAATTGTAGAGCTTCGCACACCGGCGATGCCTGTTGTCGTCATTGTCGTCGTTGTCGTCGTTGTCGTTGTTGTCGTCGTCTTCGTCGTCGGCGGCGTCGTCGTCGTCGTCGTTGTTGTTGTTGTTATTGTTGTTATAGCTGTTGCTGCTTGGCCTGTTGTCGTTGTCGTTGTTATCTTTGTAGTTGGTACTTTTTGCAAACCCCCCAAAATCGTCAAATCGACGGTTTTTGCAAACCCCCAAAAAGCGTCAAATAGGCGGTGTTTTCGCGATTTTTCACGTTCTCGGAACAAAAAAACACCGTAAATACCGATGTCTTTGGCTCCGCGCCAACGCAAAACCACGGTATTTACGAGGTTTTGATCCTCTGCTAGCAAAAATCACGGTATTTACAGTGTTTTGTGGCCCGGGCCTAGCAAAAACAGTGGTATTTACGCAGTTTCCAGCATGTTGTCAGAAGCTTTTTTTGGATGCCAAAGGCACAAAAACATTGTAAATTACAGCAATTTTACGCGTGGACAGTACCAACAAATTATGAAAAAATACCAAAAATCGACCAAAAAACGCCCAACAAGTCAAGGACCTCCAAAAGGCACCTTCGAATTTTACCATTTTTTTTCCCACCCCGAACCCCGCAAAACGTGAAACCCCAGCACCCTGAAGGATTTTCGAAAAGGTCGGCGGCACCGGCGCGCCCCCGGGTAGCTAAAGCAGTGGCCTGACGGCTGGCAAACAGCAGGCTTGAAGGCCCTTAACACAGAGGGCAGTGGCGTGACGGCTTGAAGGCCCTTAACAAAAGAGGGCAGTGGCCTGAGTGCCGGGTGGAAGCTGCCGCAAGACATTTTAGGCATTTGACGGCTGGCAAACGGCAGGCTTGAACGCCCTAACGGCAGAGGGCCATGGAGGCAAACGGCAGGCTTCAAGGCTCTAACAAGAAATGCTTGTGGCCAGAGTGCCTGGTCGAAGCTGCCGCTGGACATTTTGAGCATTTGACGGCTGGCAAACGGCAGGCTTGAACGCCCTAACAACAGAGGGCCGCGGAGCATTTTAGGGTTTTTAGGGGTCTCAGGGGTTTGAGGGCTGCCAACCGGAGGCTTGAACGCCCTTGACAACAAAAGGGCAGTGGCCTGACGGCTGGCAAACAGCTGCCGCGGGACATTATAGGCGCAAACGGCAGGCTTGAACGCCCTAACAACAGAGGGCAACAAGAATTGCTTGTGGCCAGAGTGCCTGGTCGAAGCTGCCGCGGGACATTTTAGGGATTTGAGGAGTGGCAAACGGCAGGCTTGAACGCCCTAATAGCAGAATATAGCACAGGGCCATGGAGGCAAACGGCAGGCTTGAAGGCCTTTAACAAGGAGGGCTAATTATTTTAGGATTTTTTTTTGATCAGGTTTAGGAATTATTTTTGGATTCCCGCTTCTCTGCTTTTCCTGCTTTTCCTGCTTCTCTGCTTTCCTGCTTTTCCTGCTTTTCCTGCTTTTCCTGCTTCTCTGCTTTTCTGCTTTTTTGCTTTTCTGCTTCTCCTGCTTTTCTGCTTTTCTTGCTTCTCTGCTTCTCCTGCTTCTCTGCTTCTCTGCTTTTCTGCTTTTTTCCTTTTCTGTTTTTCCTGTTTCTTTGCTTCTCTGCTTTTCCTGCTTTTCCTGCTTTCTGCTTTTCTGCTTTTCCTGCTTCTTTGCCTTTCTGCTGTTTTGCTTTTGTGCGTTTCCTGTTTCTTTGCTTCTCTGCTTTTTTGCTTCTCTGCTTTTCTTTTTTGCTTTGCCTGCTTTAAATACTTGATTTTCATGTAAGATGCATTTTGCACAGTATTTACATCCCTGAGTATCACATGACCAACCTTCTCTTGAAAACTAGCAACGTAACATGTGAGAAGAGGTGCTTGCATTCTGCTTTGGGGGGAGGCGCTGCGCTCTCCCCCCAATCCCCCCCTCCCGCTTTTTTTATTTAAACTTAAACCCAAGTTACATTAGTTGGTTTTTGCGAACTAACCTTCTCTGGAAAGCTGACAGGATTACATGTGATAGATAGATAGATAGCTAGATAGATAGATGGCTAGATAGATAGCTAGATAGATAGATAGCTAGCTAGATAGATAAAGAGGTAGCTAGATAGATAGCTAGATAGATAGATAGATAGATAGCTAAATAGATAGGTAGATAGTTAGCTAGATAGTTAGATAGCTAGATAGATAGCTCGATAGCTAGATAGCTGGATAGACAGCTGGATGGCTAGAAAGATAGATAGCTAGATAGATAGAAAGCTAGATAGCTAGATAGCTAGATAGATAGTTAGCTAGATAGCTCGATAGCTAGATAGCTGGATAGACAGCTGGATGGGATAGCTAGATAGCTAGATAGATAGTGAGCTAGATAGCTAGATAGGTAGATAGATAGCTAGCAAGATAGCTAGCTAGATAGGTAGATAGATAGCTAGATAGATAGCTTGCTAGATAGATAGCTAGCTTGCTAGATAGATAGCTAGCTAGATAGCTAGCTAGCTGGATAGATAGCTAGCGCCCTCCCTCAATCCCCCCCCACCCGCTTTTTATCTAATCCCAAGCTTCCACATCTGTAAATATTTGGGTGAACATGCTCACATGTAGAACATCCCATGCAAAATGGAAGGTGAACATGCCAAAATGTGGCAAATACCTTACAAAATGGAAGGTGAACATGCCCACATGTAGTAAATCCCATGCAAAATGGAAGGTGAACATGCCCAAATGTGGCAAATACCATGCAAAATGACAAATTCAAGTTCCAAACCGTTGCAAACACTAGGCAAATGGTACCAGCCAAGAAATCCAAAAAAAATCTTAAACCTGCTCAAAAAAAAACACCTAAAACTATTTCACACCCCTTTAATAACAGAGGGCAGTGGCCTGAGGGCCGGGTGGAAGCTGCCGCGGAACATTTTAGGCATTTGACGGCTGGCAAACGGCAGGCTTGAACGCCCTAACAACAGAGGGCCATGGAGGCAAACGGCAGGATTCAAGGCTCTAACAAGAAATGCTTGTGGCCAGAGTGCCTGGTCGAAGCTGCCACGGGACATTTTATGCATTTGACGGCTGGCAAACGGCAGGCTTGAACGCCCTAACAACAGAGGGCTATGGAGGCAAACGGCAGGCTTCAAGGCTCTAACTCTAACAAGAAATGCTTGTGGCCAGAGTGCCTGGTCAGGACATTTCGACGGCTGGCAACCGGCAGGCTTGAACGCCCTAACAATAGAGGGCCGCGGAGCATTTTAGGGTTTTTAGGTGTTTCAAGGCCGGCAAACGGCAGGCTTGAACGCCCTCAACAACAGAGGGCAGTGGCCTGATGGCTGGCAAACGGCAGGCTTGAAAGCCCTTAACAACAGAGGGCAGTGGCTGGCAAACGGAACGCGTGAACGCCCTAACAACAGAACGCGCTTAACAACAGAGGGCAGTGGCCTGAGTGCCTGGTCGAAGCTGCCGCGGAGGATTTTACGCATTTGACGGCTGGCAAACGGCAGGCTTGAACGCCGGGGTTTGAGGGCTGGCAAACAGCAGCTTGAACGCCCTTAACAACAGAGGGCAGTGGCGTGACGGCTGGCAAACAGCAGGCTTGAAGGCCCCTAACAACAGAGGGCAGTGGCCTGAGTGCCTGGTCGAAGCTGCCGCGGAGGATTTTACGCATTTGACAGCTGGCAAACGGCAGGCTTGAACGCCGGGTTTGAGGGCTGGCAAACGGCAGGCTTTAAGGCTTTAGCAACAGAGGGCAGTGGCCTGACGGCTGACAAACAGCAGGCTTGAAGGCCCTTAACACAGAGGGCAATGGCCTGAGTGCCAGGTCGAAGCTGCCGCAGAGCGTTTAGTGTAGGGGTGTGAAAGCTGGCACACGGCAGGCTTGAACGCCCTTAACAACAGAACGCCCTTAACAACAGAGGGCAGTGGCCTGAGTGCCTGGTCGAAGCTGCCGCGGAGGGTTTTAGGCATTGTCGGAGCTGGCGAACGGCAAGGTAGTGGCAAGCCAGCAAAAACAGGCCCCATACCTGCGGTGGTCCCAGGCGCCGCCCCTGCCTTGGTGAAGGCCGGGGGTTGGCGGATTTGGGTTTCCTGTAATTAAACGCACTGTAGCAACTTGGTGGACCACTGTAGGCCG